CCAACAGGAAGTTTATCTTCAAGCACTGCACGGCGGCTACTAAAACGCACCCAAAACCGGAGAAATTTAACAGGAACTACAGAAATAAAAATGGGACTGAGGAGTTACCATCGACTGCCTAGTTGAACTCAGAAAAATCACGTTCATTGAGAGGCCCGGTGACGACGAGGGTGAAGAAAGCCTCACGCTCCCACAGAGTGGTTTGCATCGAGACCCTTGGAGGCGTCAGGACCGTTCACCCCGTGACTCTCTGAAGGGACTCTTAGTACAGACAAGGCTTTAAGCAAAAAATCTCACATCACAGACATAATTACACTGCAAGTCCACCCCACCACCTTTAGGGAAAGTAGACGATAATATATCCACAGGGCTGGATATTATGCAACCATTTAAGCAATGGCCATAAAGACTAGGAACTAATACAGAAAAAAAGGAAAAAAAAAAACCATTATGACGGGACAATATAACAAATGCAGACAGCACAATCACATGCAATATGCGACTGTATTATGTTTAAAGAACCGCTAAGAATAAAGACGGGAGAAACACCAGCACGCTTCCACAGCCGCTCTGTACATCGAGTGGGAGACTCTCGAGGTGGAGAGTTTTCTCTTCTCTAATGCTTCTGCACACACTCTCATGGTGAAATACAGGAATACAGAATTTCAGAAAAGCAGTTAAGGAAGGAGGCCTCTTGGGAATTTAATCACCATCCACAGGTTTATTTACAGCAATGCAACTGGCACCAGCAAGGGTGCCCAGATGCTCCGTGAACCCAGCTCAGGCCTGCACTCTGATCGGCGGGCCTTTACGACCCCAGCGGTTAAGTACAAGAAGGTCTGCGAAGAGCCAGGTTAACGGCTGGGAATCCTGATGCTCACGCGGTGAGAAGAAGCCAACAGCTGGCCCAGGACACTGTCCCGAGATGGCAAACCCTGGGCCCCCAGAGTCCTGGAAGGAGTCCATCCTTGCCGGAAATGCCGAGCCATCTCCCTGGGGCCCCAGGCAGACCGCTGCCTCCTCCTTGTGGTCACTAACTACAGGTCACAGGAAACTGGACTGGAAATCTGGACTCCCCACCCTCAGGACACGACGGACCAAGCTCCAGAACGCAAATCTGTGGCCTAACTTCTACTTTCTGAATTTCTTCCAGAGGATGCAAAAATCAAGGCAAGAGCAATGCTAGACCCTAAAAGAAGAGTCTGTAAACCCGGGGCACAGTGGTCAGGGGCTCCGTGTCTTGACTGCCATAAACGAGGGGGCAGCCGTCTCTGTGAGATAATCTTATTTCCTTTGGACAAGCTGGGGCTCCCTGGTGGCTGAGATGGTAGAGAATCCACCTACAATGCAGGAGACCCAGGTTCAATCCCTGAGTCGGGAAGATCCCCTGGAGAAGGGAATGGCAACCCACTCCAGTATTCTTGCCTGGGAAAGGCCACGGGTAGGAGAGCCTGGAGGGCTACAGCCCATGGAGTCACAGAGAGCCGGATACGACTGAGAGTCATGTCTTCTTCTTGGACAAGTCGAGAAAAGTTGCAGGATTAAAAAAAAAAAAACAGTACAGAAAACTCATGTGCATTTCTGTACACTGACGACAAACTATCAGGAAGAGAAATTAAGAAAACAATCCCATTTACAATTGCATCAAAGAGAATAAAATACTTGGGGATAAATTTAATCAAAGAAGGGAAAAATCTGTGCACTGAAAACTGAAAGACACCGATGAACGAAGCGGAAGAAGACACAAAGAAACAGAGAGACACTTCTCATCCGTGGACTGAAAGGGTGAGTGCGGGGAAACGTACCTCTTACCCAAAGTGGTCTACAGATTCAAGGCCTTCCCTATCAAAATTCCAAAGGCACTTTTCACAGAAGTGGAAAAACAAACCTAGAATTTGTACGGAACCACAAAAGACCCCAAATAGCTAAAGCAATCTCGAGCTGGCCGACACTCTAATGCCACTTAGGAGAAAAGGAACACAAATCAGAAAACGCACTTTCATCTCCTGTCTTTCAGGAAACCCGCAGGCACTGGCCCTCCTGGCTGCCCCCCACTCCACCGGCAGGTCCCCCGGGGTGAGGGGCGGGAGGGCTGTTTCACACCACACTCACGGGGAGGGCGGTGTCACTCCACAGATGCTGGGAGAAGCCACGGACGTGTCATCACGTGCATGGTGGGAACGCAGCCGAGTGTCTAGGGGGTCGGGGACCCCAGGCACACAGGAGGCGCACCCACTCCTGTGATCTGGGAGGAAGTCACGCAGCTCTGACACAAAGGGCTCCCTGCCACGGCCCAGGCTCTCTGGGCGCCGGACAGGCCACCAAGCCACCGCAACTCCCAAGGCAGCCGGCACCCCGCACCCCGCCGTGTGGGCACGGGGCGTGCCCGGGCGCGTTGGGCCACTTCTGGGTGGTCTGTGCTGTTTAACCACCTGCTTGCCTCCCTGTGACTAACGCCCCTCGTTCACAGCTGCGCCACGCCAAGTTCACAGCCTGGGACAGAGTAGGTGCTGATCCGTAGCCTTTTGTCGACATGCATCCCAGGAGGAGGCTCAACTGCCCCGTGAGGGATTAAGGACTTGCGAAAACCTGTAAGGGCCCAGGTAATAAACACCCCGGTTTAGGGGAGGGTAATCGCCCGATTGCCATCCGATGATTACTATGTATTTTCATTGCCAAAAGATGCAATACAATTTCATGGTTACTTGGGCCTGTAAAATAGAAATACCCCCAATTTTTAAGATATGAAAAGGTTTATGACCAGGGTACTGTCAGTTCAACAATGAGTCTGTGGTACAAATGAGTCAATTCATGATGAAATTTAATTTCAGGAAAATTACCTCAATAAAGATGCCACAATTGCGCTTAAAGTTTTAATACCTATTAGGAGTTGTAGCAAAGTGGTGCAGGGCCACTGAGGCCACAGATCCATTTTCGGCTCCTCAAAACTCGACTGACTTAATACCTAATTTATCTGTAATGGGGACAGTACTGCAGAAAACTTCGTGCTTAACGAGGGGGGCCAGGATCTCAGCCTAACCCATCACAAGTGAAGAGCGTTCGCAATTCACGGGATATTAAGCTTTGTCTCCTGCGATGTTGCCGAGACTTATCTGATAGCACCAGGCTGCCGGCCATTTTAACAACCCCCCCAAATAAACACTTTATGTCCCAGTAAATATTAGTGGCTAGAAATTCTGTGGCCAACAAGTGCCTAGAAAAGTAAAACCAAAGAGGGGAACCTGGGTGTTGTCTATTGACCAGTCATGGTTTCTGAAGCCAACACGATTAGAACATACTCACTGCAAACAAGAGCAAAGTGAAAACCCAGAGCTTCAGAGCCGGAAACAGCCCAGGTTCCCCAGCAGGCGTGAAGCACCCGGGCAGCATCAGGAACACAGCTCTGGGCTGCTGTTCTCCATGACCTGGGAGAAAGCAGCTTGGCGCCCGGGGCTGGCAAGGCAGCAGGCTAAGGTCTCCACCCAGGGGACAAATGCAGCGTCCAGGCCAAGGGCGTGCTTGACGGGGAGGCGGGGCGAGGCTGTTTCAGGCTGCTCAGAGCCCCAGGGTCCCCACCCCAGCTTCATGGGGTGCCTGCACTGCAAAGAAGCCCGTAGCCTGGGGCCCCCTTTCCCAGCCTCTGCAGGAAGCTCCCCATCTAAGCCTGTGAAGAGCTGACGTCCAGGGCAGGAAGAACCCTGCCTCCCGGAGTTAAGAATAAAACCCAGCCTCTGCGAGGATCCCACTCCGAGTCCACCCAGGGCGCCTGCTCGCCACGAGCGGGGCAGAAAGGCCGTGTGGAAGCCCCGGTGCGGCCTCGGCAAACATCTTCGAATAAATGGAAAGATGCCAGAATAAGCAACGCCACTCTCGAGGGGACAAAGGCGGTTTGTTCCAGAAAACTCAATCTTCTGAAGAAATGAATTTCATCAAAACCGGTGGAGAGGAGGAAATTTCAGAGTACATCGAATCTGTCAGTGACTTTTTAAAATCTTTATCATAAGTAACTGGAAACACAGACGACGGGTGAGTCCTGAGCAGGAGTATTGCCGGCAGATGAGGCTGGAGCTACCCCGGAGTCAGAGCTTCCCCACCACACCCACCCCCAAACCCAGACAGCACTGCTGCACGGCGGGATGGAGCACAGGTACAGACAGAGCCCGGGTACAGACGGAGCCCGGGTACAGAGGGAACCCAGGCACAGATGGAGCCCCGGTACAGAGGGAGCCCCGGTACAGACGGAGCCCAGGTACAGAGGGAGACCAGGTACAGAGGGAGACCAGGTACAGACGGAGCCCAGGCACAGAGGGAGACCAGGTACAGAGGGAGACCAGGCACAGAGGGAGACCAGGCACAGATGGAGACCAGGCACAGACGGAGCCCAGGTACAGAGGGAGACCAGGTACAGAGGGAGACCAGGCACAGAGGGAGACCAGGTACAGAGGGAGACCAGGCACAGAGGGAAACCAGGTACAGATGGAGCCCCGGTACAGAGGGAGCCCCGGTACAGACGGATGACAAAAAGCTCTTCTCCCGGTCTTTGATCAGGTGACAAGAAATGAACGTCCAAAAGACCATGTTTCAGTGGAGACAGGCTCTGAAGGCAAAATCAAGTGCAGCAAACAGACCCAGAGCAGAATGTGTCAGGACGTGAGGGGCAGAGGACACATGTGAGCCCCTTCTGAGGGGGCACACAGGCCAGCCCCTGGGGGAGGAGGACATGGGGCCAGCCCTCGTGGGCACACACACGGCCAGCACTGGGGAGGAGGGCATGGCCGGCCCTGGTGGGGACTCACACGGCCAGCACTGGGGAGGACATGGCCGGCCCTGGTGGGGACTCACACGGCCAGCACAGGGGAGGACATGGCCGGCCCCTGCAGGAAGGGAGGACACGGGGCAGGCCCTGGGGGGGGTCACGGGGCCAGCACTGGGGAGGAGGACATGGCCGGCCCCTGCAGGGAGGAGGGCCGGCCCTGGGGGAGGCGCCCTGCGGGCCTCACCTGGTAGGTGTCCCAGAGGCGCACGGCGCAGCGCAGGGGCAGCTCCCGCATCAGCAGGTTGTTCATCCAGCGGAAGGCGAACTGCAGGTATCTCACCTCGTGCTGATCCAGGTGTCGGTGAACTTGCTCTGCGGAGACAGACAGGCCCCGCGGGGTCAGCAGAGCCCGGGCGTCCGCCGGCCTCCGCCGCACCCCTCCCGAGGCCCCCGGCCCGCCCGGAAACCCCCTCCACCCGCCCGAGCGACCCCCCCCCCAGAGCAAGGACAGACAGGGCCCTGCTACTCCGAGGGCGGCGCCTCCTCCCGCAGGAGCGCGGCGAGCGGCGGGGGCAGCAGTGACCCGACATGCCCGCGTGCTGAGCGTGTGCCCCGTCAGCGGGCCCCGCACCCCACCCCCAGAAGGGGAGCAGGGCCAGCCCAACCCGACGGGTGCGTGCGCCGGTCTAAGAGGATGGTGGACACGCAGGGACGCGTGGCGGAGCTCATACAAGGCTCCACGGCCGTGCGCAGTGAACACTAGGCGGCAGGGGGCAGGGCCAGGCCCCGCGGGCACTCAGGACCTCCAGCCCCAGGGCAGTCGGGGCTCGCGGGGTTTTAATAATCGGGAAGTCAGGGCCGACTCCCAGGTGACTGGTCGGGGGTTGTGGCACCCTGGGCGTTGGTTCACGTCCTCTCTTCCCACACAGCAAGGCGGTGGCTCGCCGGCCAAGGAGCCATCGAAGGCCCCCCAGGGTCCCCCCCAGACCTCAGTGCTCACGGAGCAGGACCCCGTCTGAGCCCAGCGACTCACACGGAGCCAGGCCTGGTGCGTGGCGAGCGCCCGGCACGTGTGTGGATGGAGTGGAGCTGGGCTGGAGCCGGACGTGGCTCAGAGGCAGGGGCGGGGCGAGGGCCACGGATGAGCTGCCTGGGCCCCCCGGCCAGTCCCGCTTGCCTGCGGGGCCACTGGCCTCATCAGCTGAAGCAAAGGGGGACCATTTAGCAGCGGGGAACACAAACAACTCCAATAAGTGCCTGGGAGGGACGTGACACTTTTCTAATGTAAACGGGCGAGCAAACAGATCTGGAAGATTAAACACAGGCTTCTGAAACATCCGGCACTAAAGGAGCCCAACCCAACAGTCAGAACAGTCCCTTCCTCTCCTCCGAAGCTCTGTCTGCGTCTGACCCCACCAGGCGCCGGGGAGGCCGCCCCGTCTCAGGCTCGGCTGGAGAAGCTCATCCCAGCCAGGGCGCCAGGACCGACAGCCCGCTGGGCAGCTCCTGCCCACGGCATGCTCGTCTGGGTCCGTGTGAGGGCAGGGAGAGGGCCCGGCCAGGGCGCACGCAGCAGCACAGACTCAGGACTGTCCCTCACCGCGTCCTGAACGGGGCCCATAGACCTGCCTGGTGCCTCCTGGTGCCAGCACCCTGGGCACAGCCAGGGCGTCTCCAGAACGAGGCCCACGGCGTCAACTCCACGAGGACGTGAGCCTAGGTTCCTCATGGATCAGCTCTTTCCAGGACGGAACAGGGGCCTCCACGACCCCAACACCTGTGACACTGAAGCCGCAGAGAAGGCAAGGCCAGCACCCTGCCCTCCAGGAGCTCAGAGGAGAGAAAGAAAAACGCAGCTCCGAGCCCTGTGTCGTCCATTTCATCAGAAGGGGCCTGGGCTTCTCTTCTGCACGCCGCCATCCCGCACTCCGGAGAGGAAACAAGTGGGCAGCCCCGCGACCACCCAGTAGGGACACGAGCTTCAGCCCCGAGGCTCTGCAGGACCTCGGTGGGGGGGTCCTCAGGGAGCACCTGCCTAGCAGCCCGCCCCACCCCGGCCAGGCCATTCTGGCTGACTCGGGACCAAAGGAGCAGCCGTGTCAGGACAGCGGCGGGCGTTCTGTGATCACGTGGAGGTGGCCACTCCTCACTAAAGACCTACTTTCTTTGAAAGCAACAATGAAGACGGATACAGTAGGTCGGGCACTGTCCCCCTCCCCCGCACCTCCCAAGCCCCCAACGCACATAGTGAACATCCAGGGAGGCTGCCTCCTGCTCTGAACGTGCTGAAAAACGGACGCCTAAGCTCGAGCTGTTACTTCCCATTTATATACACTGGTGCCAGTGTATATGCTGGAGTCTTTTTTCCTGTTTTATAACTTACTGTGAGCAGATGCTCTGTCGCGGGTAAAGGTAATTTGCCTAGTGATAACTCTGGACTCGAAACTTCCATGTCACTGGAAATAAGAGGGGTCGTGCGAGGAGTGAGCAGGCAGGCGTGATGACCATCATGGCTCAGGCCCTCCCGCAGCAGGCCAGGCACTCACTGCCACCGGGTCACAGGACGCTGCTCCCGGCACCCGAGGGGGGGGCGTCTGCAGGCCGGGAGCACTGCCCAGACGGCCCATCTCCCTCGGTAAAAACAAACCACGCAGACGCACTGCATCCCAAGAGTCACGCCAAGAAGGAACACGCCATGTGTCCCAGGGACTGGGCACAGACGCACACGGTTCACGCGGGTCCAGACACGGCCGAGACTCACCTTCCCAGACAGTGGACCTAACTGCTCACACTCAGAAACCCGACAAAGAAAACCGCTCACAGGGCTCCCCCCGCCATCCCCCGCCGTCCACCCGCAAGGCTGAGCACAGACTTAACATCACGCTTCTGCTGGGCGAGGCCCGGGGAGGCTTTGATTTGAGGGCAGAGAGCAGATTTCAATTCTCTAATCAGTTAAAAAGATAAAAAACAAAAACAAGAGCTGCTGACAGTGAACATGGGCCTCTCTGCAGCAGGAGGCCCCCTTCCGGGCTCCCCCAGCCTCCTCTTCGCTGGGCCTGCTGTACAGAAAGAGTGACCGGCTAGAAGACAGCAGGGCCCACGGACAGGCAGAGCCCAGCCGCCCCAGGAACCCCGGCCACGGACTGGGGGGGGGGGGGGGGGTGCAGCAGGAAGGCACGCGTTGGGCCGGCCCAGCAGCTGCAGGCTCCCGGCCGCACGCAGACCTGCCATGACCACCCCCAGGGGCCCCCAGGAGGAGAGAGGGCCCGCTGGGAGGGGGCCGGGGGGCGGGCAGGCGGGGAGGCAGCGCAGGGCCCGGGAGCTGCGACCCCGCTCCCCAGGCACATGGCGCCCCCACAGCAAACACCTCACCAGCCCCGCGTCGGGCGGGGAGCGGGCCTGACTCTGGGCCTCTGGCCTGGGTGCTCCCTCACGGAGATGAGAACCTGGCTGGATGGGAGGAGAGACCTCCGGTTACAGTGTCGGGAGGGCAGGGCTCAGACCCCCGGTCAGCTTCTGGAACGTTCTCCTGGCACGGAGGACTGCACTGTTCCCTGAGTGGTGACGGGGCGTGACTGCAGGTGGAGCTGGGAGCTCGGACCAGCCGGGGAACCCACCCACAGGTGGGCTCACGAGGACCACAACTCAGATCCACCCCAGGGCCACCTCCACAGAAAGAGCAGGCGCCTCCTCTGCCTTCTTGAGAGGGTTTACTGGGGGGACGGGAGGACTCTGCCCCCACCCACCCACCGTGAGGCTGCCGCTCCCGTCCTGACTTCCTAAAGATGCGGGTTCTTTATGGGGAGGGGGGTAAAGACACTCGTTCTCTCCAGCCACTCATAACCACCTACAAAAACGGCCTCGGGAAGCATCTCGAGACCGGTGCTGATGGCCCACACTCAGAACCAAGGCGAGTCTTTCTTCTTAAGGTCGAGGGGAACCGCTCTACCGCTCTGTCTGAAAGTCTCCACTTAGAAGTTAATTAACTGGTCTCGGTTTGGTGATAAACCTGAGTGTCGGTCTCAGGTGGAGCGTCGCAAAGATGTCATCATTAAAGGGCAAAGAAGCTAAATCGCCGAGCGGGACCTCAGGCACTCGCCTCTCATCACCCACCGGGGTGGTCATCATCGCTTCCCGAGTGAACACGCCCCCAACCTGAGCAGCCGAAGGTGGTCCCAGTGTGGCCTGCAGAGCTGGAAAAAGGCCGGGGCGTGTTTCTCTAGCACCAGCACCCACCCGCCTCAAGGCCTTCGAGGGACAGCCCACCCCACTCCTTCCTGGGGCTGCCAAGTGGGCTGGGTGTTGGTGGCCAGGCCGTCTGAGGGCCTCCCTCTAAACGGAGAGTCTTTTACGATCCGGTGTAAGTGCAGGCCTGGAAGGAAGAACTCCCGGAGCAACTGTTAACGTTCCATGTCCTTGCTCAGGACAGAATGTCCTCGCTGGTCAAAGCCAAAGGACGCCACGGCTCTGGGCCTTAAAAGGCCCCTCGAGTCCTGCCGGGGAGTTGAGTGTGGTCCCACCTGCCGGCCGCCAGCCCCAAAGCCCTCCCGGGACCCAGCCAGCCCCAACATGGGAGGAGAGCCGGCTCCTGATTATAGGAAAATAAATCTCTCTACCGGCTCAGGCGGGACATCTAAAAACAAGCTTCAATTGGGAGGAAAACACAAAGGGCTGGGGCGGCACGGAGGCCCAGAGAGGACGGAGGAGAGGGAACAGAGCCGGGGAAGGCGGGTCCCCAGGTGGCAGCCCAGCCCGGCTGGCCCCAACAACACCCTGGCCCTGGAGGGGCGGGAGGGGCAGCAGGCCTGAGCCTGAGGGCCTGGGCCCACAGAGGGAGCCTCTGGGACTGGGTTCCTGCAACCAAAGCAGGCGGGGCCAGGCGGAGAGCAGGGGGCGGAGGGCAGGGAGCAGGGATCAGAAGGCAGGGGGCGGAGGGCAGGGAGCAGGGTTACAGGGATGCTGAGCCTCTGACCCTTCACGGCAGGCTGGCCCAGGCCCTCCCACACAGCCGAGCACTCAGGCGGGCATCGCCCCCTCCCTGAGCATCTGACACCCCGGGGGTGCTGGGAAACGCATCTGAGTGGTGGTCCCTGGGGTCAAGGCTCTGGCACAGACAGCGCGCCGCCTCCACAGCAGCACCAGGGCAGTGAGCGGGAGGAGCCAGCCAGTCCGAGAGGCCTCGGGCCCCAGTGTGGAAGGCCCCGCTTGGCCAGTGGTGGGAGGGTTGGGGTTCACGCTGAGGGGGGACACTTCTCAGGGAGGGTCGGCCCTCTCACAGCAGCCAGGGACTGCCACTGCCCGCCCTGTACATGCAGCGTTGCTCTGTCCCCTCTGCAAACGGTGCACCGGCTCAGATCACGAGCTTTCCCACC